CGCCCCCACATTTTTCGGGTGACACCCCCCCCCCGTACCGCCGCCACTGTAATCAAAAGTCAAGTCAGACCGTTTCTCGTCGGCAAATTTGCTCTTGGTCACTAGAGGGCACAAATTGAAAACAAAATCAAATATATTATCCAAAATCTTTGTATTGACAGTCACCTGGCGTACAAGTGATAATAAAATAAATGGGATTAATTTACCGATATTTAGAATATGGTGGCAGACATCTTGAATACGGCTTGAAACTACATACTAGTACATAACGTCAAACACTGTTTGTATAAGACGTCACCGTGGCAACACAACCCTTACCTGGCATAATGCCATAGCTGAAATACAACAGGAACATTGCGTTGGAGAAGGCGCTGATGATTAGACCCAAACTGATCGTATATCCACCCACAAATACAACGAACCGGGAATCGAATCTTCGCGACATACTCACAGAAAGTGGACCTTGAAAAAGACGAAAAAATATACGTTAGTGTCAGATATACATTTTAGCTTCTTGTGTTTTTTTTTCTGATATTGTCAGCGTTCGTCCTTTTTCGTCTTCCGCTCGGAATGTTTCACTTTAATTGTATTTTACATCAAACCCCCATATATGGATTCTATTATATTCTACATGTGTTAACTAAAGAGTCTAGAACGGTGTGGGTGTTCAGTCAAAAACAATATTGTGTTTGCTACAGCAATGGCACAGTTGGTGCCTGTGTATTGGAAGTGTGCGTTTATGTGTGTGTGTCTCAAATATATAACCCCTCTAAAATTATCGTTCAGAGCATGCGCGCCGTGATCAGTCAATTTCAAGTTACCATACGCTACCTATTATCATGGCTATTGAGAACTGCAATGCCACCAGCCACGAGACTTCGTGTGCCCCGGTGTTGAAATAAACCTTCAACTCTAGAAAGAAGACGCTAAACGACATCAGAAATCCACATGATAGAAACAGAACTGCGGAAGCGGACATTGTGGTGACCCAGGCGACTCTCTCCTCTTTTCGTCTCCGTGCAACATCCACAATTTTCGGCGACATTCCATCACTGTAAAAGAACAACATGTAACGTTTGGTATAAGTCCCTTTATAGACGTAACTGTATGTTACACCATGGTTACACTAAGGCTGCGTGTAATGCTTTTTTGCATGAAATATACACATTGACACGGCTATAAATCCTATTACCAATCACAGACTTTGATACAACGTTGAATTAAATCTGGGCTTGTCTAGATATTTTACGATCCATTTCAATAACTTAGAGTATCAAATTATCAATTTCAAAATTAAAAAAAAATATGCCAACATTTTATCCAAATTTGGTATAAACTGAATAAAAATGGTTGCCATCGTTTGTTCATAACACTATGGGGTGAACCAATCATTGGGCTATCCACGGTTACTAATAGTAACCGTGGGCTATCTTAGTAATCAACTACTACATATCATTACTAATGTATTTATAAAGATGTAAACATCGCCAATGGTATAAAGTGTGGACAAATCAGTGTTCAAGATTAAATTCAAATCTATCGTATCTTAAAAGATTAGATTACATGATCTGAACTACACTCCGGACAGAGATTACATACAAAATAATCGTCGTTGGTAGCGGCATACTAGTAAATAAGTCGGGAGAGAGTTTCAATGAACGTGCAATTAGACAGCATGTCCACGTGCCAATCTGGTATAATAATAATAAGATTGCAAGAGAGAAAATCAGACGTGGGTTGTTGTTCCATGGATTCACAGACCAGGTTACTTGTGGTGTCACGCACCTGAGGACGATAAATAAAAAGCGTGACAAATGTAGTGCTGAAATACTAGAATACTATTTATACCACCTCCGATGATAAATAATAATTTTATAATGAGATACCACGGAGTACGTTTTAGCTGCATGGTATAGTTAATAAATTCGTGAAGCGCCGTGTTGTGGCTGTTCACAAGTAAATACAGAATGCCTGCTTGTAGACAGATACATGGAAGGTGATAGGATTATTTAGTTTTATTAACAAGGAACTTTTACTTTTTCTATTCTACACTCAATGTTTTTAAAGAACTTTTGATGAATGCTAAGTAAACATTAAAAATTTGATATATAAATATGGTTTTCAATCTCCTATCAGTGAAATATGCAGATTTGTTTTATATCTCGTACAACAGATGCAGATTGTACGCTGATTAGACATTATGATCGTCTCTGTTTTCGGTAGTTTATATGAAACCTCGCTGTTTTGAGGATTTTGATGTAAAATTGCCGTTCGTATTCACGGTTTTGCATACTCGATAGAAACACACCCCTCACTCTCCACTCACGGGCTTAATTATGGCGCTAATAAACGGTCGTTGGCAGGCGATGATGTGAAGGAATAGTCATATCAACGAAACTGTTAGTTTGTGGGAACCTTTTCACTCCCTCAGGGTCCATTATGCGCGAATACCGCCATTTTGAACTGTATGAATGAACTTCGTGACATCATGTGACGAAACTTTACTACTGTCATGGCTGCATATTTCGTGTTGAAACATACCTCATTAAAGCTCATTATATACGACAGATAACTCTGTATTTTAAAGTCTTGAACATATCATGGAGGTAAGTCCATTTTTTAGCTCCATGTACATATTATGTAGTAAAATGAGTCATGAATTGGAATCAGTTTAATTGTTTTATTGTTTATCTGGAATAGCTGAAAAGCCCGGCATGCACGCTCAGAACAATTAACCTAGGAAGTACGAAATGTTCGTTGGTCCATGGAGCGCAATAAAATCACGCGTAGAACTCCATCCGAACCAGACTCTAGCAGCGTAAACTTATTGCAATTTGGGTAATTTGGGCCCAGTTTGTTCTTACAAGTTTTCTAAGTTTCATTTATCATTATTTAGTAAACAGGCCCCTCAAACGATTTAATATATCCGTAAAATACGTGGCAATCGACGACTGACCTCGAAACGTTCGAAATTTCGAACAAACTCCCGGCACACCTTGCGCGATATGCGTCAGATCGGTTTAGAAGACGCCGACCTGCAGCGTCAATGGTTATTATGTGTTAGTTTCTGTTGTTTCAAAGATGAATTATGTATGACAATAATATTTCACTCTATAAACAATATTTCACTAAAATATGTGATTCAAAGGCAACCCAAATTGTAAAAAGCAATATCAAGTTTCGCGTATAAACACTGTTGTAAAGAGGCGGCGGAGCGGAATTTTAGCCAAAATCGGCTAGTAAGGCGTCATATGACACAGGTTTGTGCTGGGACAGCGCTTCCGGTGACGACACAACGCATCTAATCCACATAGATAATGATGATAATAATAATAATAATATAAAGCGAACTTATTTTTTACCAAACTATTGTTTTGCAAAACCAACAATAGTGTACTACAAGTATTGTATTCATTCTGATTTATTATTCCGTTAGTGGTAGTTATGTAAACTAGTCTGAAAATAATTGCGATCCGTGTTTCTGTGAAAACTGAAAATAAGAGAAGAAAGCCAAATCACAAGACAGTCTTTGACCATGGCTATTCAGGGTATTGAGCTAAATTCTTTACCAAAACATTTACCTCGTTTATGCGACAACATTTAACGGGAGCCGTAAGGCCCGAGTTTGTGAAAATTGCCGAGTACTAGTAAACACGCTCAGCTGAGAACCAGCTAATCTAGTTCTATTATTACTATTCTTTGGTGATTACGTAACACTACTTTCATACAATCTGACACCGAGCATTGTGTTGATCACGCATGCGCAATATATGCGCTTTTCGGACAATGGACAAAGCAGCATTTTTTCAATATATTTTCCGAAGTGTTTTTTTTTTTTGCAAAGGTTCAGAGATTAATTGTATAAATGTATAGGTAGAGATGTGACATATCAAGGAAACAAACAAACATAGAAGTAGGATTAAACAAATCATGAACACAATATGTACTTTTACTACTATACAATAAGAACATGAGCAAACGTAGAAAATTAATATATGTATACTGAAATGACGTTGATTGGGACGGAAACTACGTGACACTTGAAAATTCTTGAAAAGGTTATATAAAAAAACGAACCTCATTGTGGTATCAGTTTTGTCTGTAAGACAACAATTGAACTTCAACTCGTTCAACTACCAGCTGATCACAAAATGACGTGTGAATTTTGCAGATTCCTCCAACAAAATACTCAATTGATGGACAGATTTGCTTCTAATATTCAGCAACTAGTCGCATCGTTGGAAGCAAATAGCGTTGAATAAATCGACGAATAGAGAGAAAAATATCGACAAGTGTCCTAACAACTGCTGCAAGGTCGTTCTCCTTGTTTAATGAATAAATTAGTGGATGTCAAAGGTCACTGAAAGTGTTAATTACATGATTTGTGCATTACATTGTCATTATAATTTACCTTGTATTCTGGAAGAAAGCGTTGTAAAATAATAAGAGAGCTGATAACGCGATAGGTACCCATAATGCTATCAGACTTGTCACTTCATCTTCACTCGTTGACGCATTGCACAGTATTTTAATATTTAAAGGGTCTTCACTTTCGCCACCATTGTCCTTGGTTCCACCTGATGGACTTTTATGTCTTTCTCTTTGTTCGCTGTTATTTGTATCTGTTTTTTCCTCCTGCGGACCATTCGGCAATAGGTGCCCAGAGTCATTATCGCGAAGGTTGGCGTTGGCAACCCCGGAAGTTTTATTACCACGTACATTAGCGCATGTTTCGTCCTTACCAGATATTTCACATATTGTTGGTAAATATGGACACGTATCCGTCACCATGTTATCAATGCCATCTTTATTATCTTCAGCATTATCAATATAGTTTTCATTCTCATCGGTGTTATCTTCGAATTGATTTGGTGACTGAGAATTGACAGTTACTGGCAAAGGTGTGGTTACCACTATGCATTCAAATGAACGCCCGTGGACATGATCAAACACAGAGTCATCAACAACGCCATCAACGTCAGCATTAATATTCCCGTTCATTTCGTTTTCATGAAATGTGTCGACAATTTCAGGAAGACAAATATGAGCATAATATGGTGATCGGCCTCCGTGAATTCTTAAACTTTTGCGATGGCGATATTTTCTGACGTAAAGTTTCAAAAATCTCACCCGATTTCTCGATTTTCTGAGCGCTGCGTAGGAAGTGTACTGCTTCGACTGGTTCTCGTCAGTGTCCTCGATAATCCAATTGACTTCTACATCAAGTTCACAAATGGGGCAGACTTGTGATAGTCCACTCTGGCAAAAGTGATATCGTGACATCTCGGTCCAACACTATAGCGCTAACGCAATCCTTACAAAACGAGTGCCCACATGACATCAGTTCGGGATGCTGTATGTATTCGGAGCATATTTTACATATGTTGGACAGCTTTACATCGGAATCACAGCGTTTCCACGGATTCATGCCATAAGGTCTGTAAAGTGTTTCCTGTGGAGCTCGGTTGCGCGTTTTCAAACATCCGTTGCACGATATCGAAAATGGAACGCGTTGACGGAATGGCGCATAGAACATGAAATGCGCGCGTAGAACTATTTTTGTTTCCGACCGTTCTTGTTATTCTGGATATTGCTTTACTTGCAGCAGCTGGCTGTGTTTAATAGTTGTCGAAATAAAGTACCGTTATATCAAGGAAATAATAATAACACAGAATAATGTTACACAATGTTTAATGTTTGGTGGTTCGTGTCGTCCGTGTATGTTATGGTCATTCTTTTTCGCTTTTTGTGCGAGTAAGATTTCTTGTGTAAATTTATAACGGACATCGCCGAAATATTGACATTGAAAGTGTAGCATGTACGTTATATGCCGACGTTGGACATTTAATCACAAAGAAGCAACTAAAAAAGCGAAAACAAAGATGGCCGCGGGGTTGCGTCCTTGTCTCCGGATAGCCTGACAAAGTCGCGTGAGTTACGTCTTCCGCTGTGCTCCAAACTAAACACACGTTAGTGGGCGAACTCCGCACAGTTCGATGCGCGTTACTTATCATCACTGCACAAAGCAGCTTTGCATAGAACTCATTTACATATTCGAATATGTTCGAACTACAAGACCCTGTCGATTAACAAAGTTATGCGTAAGTCACTCGGTTACTTTAATCACTTTATTAAGAGATTTCACGCCCTGACTCTAAATAAAATGTTCAGTTATTTATACAAAATATACATGACTTGCGTTGGAAAATTACAATCCTTTCCTACATGCCAAAGCACTAGTTTCTACTATAAATGACTAACTTTATAAACTTACTAGAACCTGTGTGTTCTATTGCTGTTAGACCACAGGGAGCCCAGGAACTATGATCAACTGTACGCACTCCCTATGAGCGGGGGGGGGGGGGTATCGGCTAGTATCTGGTGTAAGAAATAGACAAGGGATGAAGGCTCCAGCCAGCTCACATTTTTTAAACTCGAAAAAAAGACGAAAAGAATGAAAAATAAAATCTAGAAAAAATACCAGGTTGAAGAATATTAGTTGCTCCTTCGAATTTCGCCAAAGCCTTACCTACATTTTACCCATATCTGCAGAATAAATCAAGAAAACTACACAAATTTACTCCATTTAGGAAATCCTAACGGTTTGCCCGAACGCACGGCACAGTTGGAGG